AATTCATGAAAAATTCAGGTAAGAACCTATAGCAAAGACTGCAACGAGTCAGTTGTTCAGCATGGGCAAGATGGGCGGCAGAGGCAGAAAAGCTCAGCCTTTGGTTTTCATTTTGGCTCACCTACTTAATAGCTCTTAATGTCTCTAACCTTCCATTTTCCCATCTGTAAAATGGAGTATCACTAAACTCAAGAGCTTTAGTAAGGACTGAACTGAGCACTACTCAGTTCTTTAAAACACAGCCATTTTTTTAAAGTAACTTCTAAACCCAACATGGGGCTTGAACTCATGACCCCGAGATCAAGAGTGTGATGCTCTACCAACTGAGCCAGCCAGGTGCTCCCAAAATAGCCATTATTAGTAAGAGAAATGAAAAGTTTTGAAAATTGCAATCCCAACAATAAGACCATAAATAATCACAACAAGGAAAAATGAAAGCAATGTGTCTGCCCACAAATGTTTTTCAGTTGGCTCAGATTTGTTACATTTTTTATTTTTTAAGATTTATTTATTTTAGAGAGAAAGAGAACGCAAGTGGGGGAAAGGGCATAGGGAGACAGAATCCTCAAGCAGACTCCCCACTGAGCACAGAGCCCAACACAGGGCTCAAACCCAGGACCCTGAGATCATGACCTGAGCCAAAATTGAGAGTCAGCTGCTTACCTGACTGAGCCACACAGGCACCCCCCAGTTGGTTCAGATATATAAAGAGCATGTGTACAATTTCATTTACTTGTAACAGGCAGCTCTTCCTGCCCATGGGTTCTGTCTCTGTGCTTTAATAAAAACACCTTTTTGCACCGAAAAAAAAAAAAAATAGAAGAAGAACTTATTTGTAACATATACTCCAACTTTCCAAAAGTGATCTAGGGCAAAGTATATCAAAATCCAAAAGAAGGACAGGGCGCCTGGGTGGCTCAGTCGGTCAGGCGACTGCCTTCGGCTCAGGTCATGATCCAGGAGTCCCAAGATCAAGTCCCACATCGGGCTCCCTGCTCAGCGGGGAGTCTGCTTCTCCCTCTGACCCTCCTCCCTCTCGTGCTGTCTCTCGTTCTCTCTCGCAAATAAATAAAATCTTTAAAAAAAAAAAAAAAATCCAAAAGAAGGACAACCAAAAAACTGTAGCAAAGCTTGAAAGAATGGTTAA